GGAAAATTTGTGGAGGAAATGCTTCTTTATGTGGGAAGGTGAAAATGTTTTGGGTTTTATTTCTCTCCTTTTATGGGGTGGGTGTGAAGCTTGAACTCTGGGTGATGTTGGGACTTTTTATGTGTTGATACGGCTTAAATAAAGCAGAAATAATATGCTACACCGCAGACAAATACTGTATTTATTCATGTATAATACTAGAAATTTAACCCTAAAAATCATCCGGTCATGTTTTTAGAACGATGTTTGGCCCACATGCAGAACACTCTCAGGAGACAAGTTCAAAAAAGTTTATTTTACAAATAAAAAGCTAATAAATTGAGAAYCTCCTTCTGGGGCTGGAGACCTGGGGAAAGGGAATCACTGAAGGCAGAGGAGAATATGATGTGCAACACAAAAATACTGAGGAAATGATGAGGAACCTAAAAACTTCTTACTTGGGTTGTGAGTGAGCGTCCACCAGTGGGGGGGTGGTTGAGTGAAAGACAAGTCAGTGCAGTGCAGCCAGATAGATGGAGCGATGGCAGATTACCGTGCGGACCGGGGACAAAGACCTTGAAGCTGTCAGTCTCAGAACTGCTCCAGGAGATCTTGGGTTCTCGAGAAGGCTCAGGGAAACTCTGGTAGATGAACCAGGAGGTGGTGGAGGAAGCCTTGGAAGGAGATCGCAGGAGTAAATATAAAGTTCCATAGGGGAGAAAAAACTTCTCAGAAATTTAACACACAGAACAAGCTATGGGAACATGAGATACCATTGCAGGCAAACACTCAGGCACTGGAGAACTGACAGCCAACTCCTTTTATCCCCTGGATGATTGCAGGAGAGGATCCGCAGGTGTGAGTGATGATCTGTGGTTCCGCCCTCCAGTGACAGCAGCTCCAGACTATCTGCACAWACAAACTGAACGCAACAAAAACACAACACAAAACCAGGTTTCTAACACATCCATAAAGTTGGGGGATGGTATTATGCACGAGGTTTTGATAATTAGATTTTTAATGCTTTGTAAGCTCAAAAAATGATGATCGTATTTCACTTGAGATCGTATTATACATGAATAAATACGGTACKTTTTTTGTCACTTAATCATATTTTAATAGTGCAAACATTCAGATGCTAAAGGGAAAAGCTGCACGGTTTCCTAACGTACATATAAAAACAAAACTAAACAGATCTAAGCTCCTCTGCTGKGTGTCTGCAGTTCTCTGAAGCCACCGCAGCGGTGCTGCTGCTGCATAAAAGCAGCCTCTGCTGTGATTTGCATTTCAGCCGCAGTGAGTGTGAGCTCACACAGCAGYGTGCAGAGGTGATTGTTGATGCTTTCCTCTTGCTGCTTTAAAGCGTCCAATTTCAATTTACTGAGAGCCCGACAGAGTTATTATAGTTAACTAAAACTAACTAAATAACGAAAACTGAAACTGAAAATTTTTTTTAGTTAACTAAAATAAATAAAAACTATAAAAAAATGAGAAAACAATAACTAACTCAAACTATATAATCATTTTACAAAATCAACTAAAACTAACTGAAATTATAGATAGAATATCCTTAGTTTTAGTGGTTGTCAATTTATTTTGGGACATGTGGATATCTTAAAATAATCTCCCAAGGTTTTAGTTGGCAAAATTGAGTTACACTATTATCTTAGGAAGGTGTCGCTTTATTAGACTGCTTTAACTAGCAACCAAATAGCCAAAGGCGTAATTTGCAGTGGGGTTAGGGGGGTTATAATCCCCACAATAATTTGATCCAGACAAAGTAACACCCCGCCCTCCAATAAATTAACATTATTTGCTCAAACACAATGGAAATCAACTGGTTAAGTAGACAGATGCAACATTCTTGTYGTCTTTAAGTATGTCATATACAGTATGTATGTTTAAGCATTATTGCTAAAAATGCCATGCAGGATTTTAGAGCATAACCACACCCCGCCCCCACYAACGGTAGACTTAAAGTTACGCCCTTGCAAATAGCTGTTGTTTAGTTAACTCACAGGWACATCACAAAATTTAAGATGCATTGGCAAATATGTTTATCAAACTATAAAAAATACTGGTACCACTTTACAATAAGACTCCCCTTATAGACAAATAGTTATTAATTCATCTGTAAACACTTTATGAATCTTTAAGAAGTGTTTATTATGCATTAATTAAGGATGAGAAAGAAACAAAACTGTCTGGTTTCTTGCCAAATAGTGAGCCAAATCTGTTTATGTTCTTATTACATCTAAAGGTGCAACATATATTAAACATTTCAGACCAGGTTTCTACCTTGTAAGCACAATAATGTATTGTAAACATATATATTACATATAATATTGTACTGTACTACGTAAAAACCTAGTCTGAAATGTTTAATGTAGCAGCTTTAGATGTAATATGAACAGATTTGACTCACTATTTGGCAATAAAMCGAACAGTTCTGTCTCATATTTCGTCCTTAATTAAGGCATAATAAACACTTCTTAATAATTTATAAAGTGTTTACAGATAAGTTAATAACCTATCTATAAAACATTTAAAAGCCCTCTATAAGGGGAGCCTTAATGTATACCAAAAAACTAATACTAGAACTAATAAAAACTAAACTAAACTAAAATTAAGCATTAAAAAGGCAATAAAAACTAATAAAAACTAGCAAATCCACTGTAAAAAACTAATTAAAAATGTTAATTAAAAGAAAAAAGGTCAAAACAAAATAAAACTAAACTATAATGAAAAATCCAAAGCTATCATAACCTTGGAGCCCGGGAGATTCACGACAAAGAGACTGTGATAAGGGAGCTGTGGCCCAGCGTATACTGTCACCTGTGGATTAGATCTTCCAGACAGTAATCACATAATCACACGGCAACTGACACAAGTGTCTGCTTAYAGCTGCTTAATGCCAGTGTTGAGGACAGTGTCTGTCCAAGTCTGCCATGCTAACTTTATACAACATAAGTTTCCTTTTTCCCAGGGCTGAACTAAGAATCAGCTGATTTATTCATTGTACATTACACATACGCAGCTATTTCTGGGTTCTGTGTGAGGAAACAAGCAACGTGATTTGTCAACGTCCTAATTAAGATGAAAAATGATTTATGCGGCTCTGCGAGGGCATTCTGTATAAATCAGAAATCACAGCCATATCATAAAAGCCGTATAATCATTTTGAGGATTGTGGGAAAAAAACAACGTGTGAAGCAGAATAAAAAACTCAGCTGTGAGGCATTTTTTACACAAAAAAACTATCAGTCAGAATATTAAACTAACCACATCTTACAAGTAAGATACAGGAGTTTTTGCAGTTATTTATTTGCGAATAAGCTCATTATTTTTGGCATTACCGCAGGTTAAACTACTGTAAACAAACACAAATGGGGGCCTTTAGCTACTATTCACAGCTTTATCTCTTTGCAGAAAAAATTCTACACATTTTGTTTGTTCTTTTGAGGACACAAGAATAAATTACTCGGTTTGCAAATCTAAAATGAAACACAAATAAAGTGCCTAGCAGAATGACGGCTTATTGTTATAGACCAAAATCATTTATGAAAAATTACAGTCATCGACCTTTTAGCCAAATCTTGTAATTGACATGATGTAGAATCTCATTCAAGGTTTRTTAATGCTCAACGTGTGATTTTAATGACCTAGCCACCAAACTGATCTATGACCGAAAAAACATATATATATACAAAAAGGCAAACATCCACTTTCAGAGAGTTCAGGAACCATTAAAATCCATTTTTGTCCCTTCGGCTTTAGCACTGGATGATAAAGATTGCAACAAGAACAAATCTTTAAACAACCACTCTTATAGCTAAAGCTCCATCTCTGGTTATCAGTGGTCAGGTCACGGAGGCAACAGGTCTGAGAAAGAAACCCAGCAATCYGCAACATTCTCCTCCTGGAGGATACAGAGGCGTTCTTAGGTCAGAGGGGATCCCTCCAAGTTCTGGGTCTTCCTGGGGTCTCTTCATATTACCCAGAAAACCTCCAAAGGGAGGCAATCACAATCTGATCCTAATCTCTAAGGCTGAGCCTGGCCACCCWACAAAGGTTGCTTGTATCATGGGATCTCATTCTTTCAGTCATGATCCACATCTCATGACCATGGGTGCCAGTTTGGGACCGGTTAATCATGAGCTTTGCTTTTCGACTCAACTTTTTCTTCATCTACATCAACTGAAGCAACATCCTCATTATYGAGGATCTCTTGATCCATCCCCCACTCCATCCTACCATCACTTATGAACTAAATAGTGGACCTCCTCCACCTGAGGCAAAGACTCATACCTGACCCGGAGAGGGTATTCCACTCATTTTGGGTTGAGAACCATGGCCTTGGACTCAGAGACCCTGACTCCCATCCCAGCTGCTTCACACTTAGCTGTGAACTGAATGTGAATTAGCTGGGATGGGACAATYAATGCTTTAAAATAGTAATTCAAGTAGCTCAAGAATGGTGATTTTAAATGAAGACAGGAACATGTTCATAAACTTCAGTTAGGGATCAAGAATGCCTTTTTTTACTGTTTGGATTAATTTTGATATGATATTTGTTTAATCAAAAACATTTATGCATCTTTGATTCCCAGGTTTGGAGATTCAATTTATTTACAAGCTATATTTTTATTTATTTCGCTATAGATTTGAATTTAGAAATTTCTATTTGCATTTTTTGCTTTCTATGTATGTATGGATATATTTGCTCTTTACTATTTTACAATTTTTGACTATACTTTTATTACATGTTTGAACATTTTGAAATTCATAGAAAGAAAGATAGATGGCTATTTGGCACTAAAATCTCTGCATTCAAAAACACTGAAGTCCCAACATGTGAACTGCAACTACCGCAGAGGGGGTGGAGGGGTGGTTGAACYAAAGCGCAACTCCATTTCATTCGGCATGGTTTATGCCAATTAAAATAAAGCGTTTTTTAGGGTTTTATTCGTCCTAAATATAAAACATAAATGCGTTATTTTCTTGCTGGGAGTCAGAAACTGAGAGTTGTTCGTTTCGTCCACCCCTCCCGCCGCGCACGCACAGTGGTACGGTCCGGAGTGTGGCGCTGCACGGTCTCCCCCGCTCCAGTTCACGGTAAAACCCCCCCGCTGTCCACTCCCCGAGAATCGGAAAGCGTCCAGCGGCCGGAATCTGCCGTGTGTCGCCGGGGGATGCTGGAGGAGAACCCGTGAAGCGCTGGGGGGCTCCAAACCACCACCACCATGCGAAACGAAGGTCGGCTTTGTCTCGTCTTACATGTGTGATTTTAGTAGCGGCGAACACGCAGAAGTCCGGTCCGCATGAGAGAGGCTCCTCCGCTGAGTCTCAGTCGTTATTTGAACACTCTTTGACGGTGGCGAAGCAGCAGCAGCAGCAGCAGCGGGAGTCACGCAGAGAGGGGGGAGCTGAACCTCGCCGCGGCCGCTTGACAGGTGACGTCGCAGGGCTCCGGCYGGGGGAGATGCCGCCGGTCCAGAGGACCATGTCTGATCTTCGAACCCGAGCAGAAGGTACGTAGAAACCTCTCGGTTTCATGGCGCTTTTGAATACTACCGTCATACTTTGATTTTCTTGTAAGTCACTGCTCGAAGAAGGCCGGYAGCTCATAGAAGTCCAGAAACTTAGCAGCTGTGATTAACAATCGTAAAACCGGCGTCGTGACGTTAAAAGTTTCACAAAAGATAAAGAAGGTCTGAAGGGGCAACAAACAAAAGGCAGCTGTCATACTGACATATTTCTAAAAAGACAGATATTATAATTCATGTAAGTGAAAGTAAAACCCCACTTCCCTCCACATTTACAAATAAACAGACAAAACAAAACCACCTCCTCCTGACTGGGACAGCCCTGTCTATCCTCCTACCATCATGTGATGTTGTTCAGCGACAGGAACTACAAGTTTGGAGAAAACAACTGCCCAGTGGGTGATATCTGCAACAGTGTGGGTCTGATACAAACAGATTTTATAGATGGGCTGGGACTCCCACTGGTTCACTGCACCACTTCTTGCTCACTACCATCTCTGCTGTGTTTGCTAGGGAACCAAAATAAAGATGCATTGCTTTGATCGTGTTTACTTTGTATTTCTAAATGATGTCCAATTCATTTAGTCGTGTTTTACTAACTAGATTTGGCACCTATTGATGGCAGGGCTGTGTATTGGCAAGAATTTGGTGATACGATACATATCATGACAGAGGGGTCACGATACGATATATCCTGATATATTTCGATACTGTAAACAAGGCGATATATTGCGATATTTTTGGTCCAAAAATTCTATTAAATAAAAACCTCTTACTGGTAAAGAAAAAAAAATTCATTGTCTCAGAAAATTCTAATATTACACAGACATACTTTTGATACATTTAGCTGTGTTCTGCTTTGTATGTGTTTTATTTTATTTGTTTCATACTAAATTTGCCAATAAATAGTTTGAAAATATATTTTTTGCAGCTTTTCGTTTTGAATATTAATTTACAATATGGTCATCAAACACTTAACAATAGCCTTTATGTTGTCATTTGGCTTAAAATACAGACATTCTGACAAATAAGGAACTGTTTGTAACCTTACTTCAGCTTAAAAGGCAGAGGGTGTCGGTCTTTTCCGCTCAGATCCAGCTATCGGAGCATAAAGCTAATGTTTACAAGAATTTGGCGATACGATACATATCATAACAGAGGAGTCACGATACGAAATATCCCGATATATTGCGATACTGTAAGCAAGGCAATATATTGTGATTTTTTTTTGTCCAAAAATCCTATTAAATAAAAACATCTTACTGAAAAAAAAGAAAAGCTAATGTTTACTTACAATGCTAATGCTACCCTTACTCTCTGGTGCTCAAGAGGTAGAGGAGCCAAGTGGCTGGCTCACTGCTGCCAACTAGTGGTCAGAGGCTGAACTACAACAAAAATGAATGGCTGGCAGGAAAGTTGACATTTTAAACCTTAATAAAAATCGATACAGGGCTTTAGAATATCAATACAGTATCGGGAAATGAAATATCACAATATTTCAGTGTATCGATATTTTCTTACACCCCTAATTGATGGACACTGGGGTTGTGTATTTCTGGTCTTTGGCTGATAATATACAGTTTGTCCATAGTCTAGGCTACACTTCAAACAATTTGATTCTTAAAACGTACAAAGGCAATAAAACCAACCTGATGCGATTCAGCTCATGCAATAAGTTTGATTTTACACACTGAAATTAGGGGTGTCTTGACAGTTTTTCTCCAACCAAGTATGAGTACTGTTTGGGTCCATGCCAATACAGAGAATCGATACAGAGTTAGAACTTAAATGTTTCTACATAATGATTATAAAAACATATTTATTTCCCCTATAATTTGGTACTAAATCAGATACATATCTGATGTTTGTCAAAGCTACTGCAGTCTGAATGCTCATGTTGCATTATAGCTGACATTTAGTTTCATTCATTTATTCATTTATTTAAAAATTACTTTTGTACAAAAAATAATCAAAATCACACTTAAAATGAAAGGAGGCAGAAAGAAAAAAATCTTATATTTGCCCCTTTTTCCCAAAATTAATAATTTCCATTATTTTCGTCAGTGATGTGAAAATAAGCCCATTGGTCAAAGTAATGACACTAACTTCGAGTCGTTCTCTTTAAATCTTGTAACTTCACACATCTTCAGCTAAAGAACAGAAGCTCAGTTGCTACAATATGTCTTTTTTCAGTTCATTTTCCATGTCCTGGATGGCTGAGAATCCACAGAAATATATGATAGTAATTTTGTTGGACCATGTCAATACTAAAGTTCTGAAATGATACTTAAGTTGGTTTCACGTTCAACTTGTTGGAACTCCTTATGTCTTCGATTACAGAACAGAAGCCCGGTTGCTTCATCTTTTTCTTTTTTAATTTTCCATGTCCTGGATGACTGAGAATCCACAGCAACATATGATGGTAGCGTTGGTGTCAGACAGTATGGATACCAAAGTGGATCGATATTTTAAGTCGTTTTACTTTGAGCACATTGCTTTGTTCCTTGACAATCTCTAGAAATGTTAGAGATTTGTCCAGTGTTTATTGTGGCGATGTTACATGGTAACACTGTCATTGCAGTTAGTTTCAACAAGAGCACTAAAAAGGTTGAATCCACTGTAGTTGTCATGCTAGATCATTAGCTGGCGCTGTGATTTTTTTTTCTATTTCAACAACACGTGCCACACTAATCTGTATGTCCCTACTTGACTTATGCAGGATTTCTGCAAGCTAGAGGTCCAATCTGAGTTTCTTTATGAAGGACTTGATCACTCACATTGTTTTTTTGCTTCAGAACAGTGACAGAATTTATCTGCAGCAATCAATATTCTATCCCATGATTTATGCTGGTTACTGCAGTTTTAATTTTTCTTCACAGTAATTGTAAAGTACTGCGGGGGTTATATTTTAATTATTTAATTTCTTTTTGTTTGCTTGAACTAAGTTTGTGGCTCTAGTCTAGGCTATATTTGGCTACTAAAGCAAATAGGCTTTTCTCATTTGTCTGTTTCACTTCTTGGTTGCATAACTCAAAATGCTCAGCTCCAGCCAACATAAATCTACCATATTGATTAGGAACCATTTTGAATTATTGTGGTTTAATTTACTAGCAGTTTTGTCAGTATGTGTTTTTCAAAGAAGCATTTTGTGAACTGTGTTCATTTCAAAAAGCTGCAGAAAGAAATATAAATTCAAGACTAATGCAACTTGGGTTAAAAATTCAATATTACTGTGACTATGAAGGGCTGTTAGAAAGCTGCCCTAGATAATATAAAATATACCTTTTTTGTCAGCTTATCTATTAGTAATCCACTAGCCTTTATTAAAACAGCCGTGTTTCTCGTACATTTTCAAGTCAAAATGTCTGCTGTGAAGTTGGTCTGTTGGAGCATTTGCTCAGCCTCTGAATTATATAAACGTGTTGATAGTTAGCTTTTCTACAAACCCCCCAGACCTTCTGATTTTAGATACTGATCAGTCCAAACCTTTGTGATTCAGCTACAGATGTGAATAGCCTCTCTAGAGACTGGGCTCCACCTCCACTGTCGTCATCAGCTGAAACTTTCAGCACTTTAAAAAGGGGTTACTTTACAAGCTCACCAAAGCTGCAGAGCAGAACAAGGACGTTATGAAGTTTTTGGTGCTGAGATAGTTGACTTCTTTCAATAAGAAGCCAGCAGGACATGATGGTGGAGTTGAAATCTGCTCTCCATTCCCCTGCAGCAAATTCTGTGGGGAAACAGTTCACGGCCTGCTATTTGACAGCTCATATCAAGCTGCTTTTTTCCCACATTCATTTATCTGTGTTACAGTTTTCAACAATCCTATAGTCTATAAAACGGTGAGCTTTTAGAGTCTAGAAAAAAAATTGAAGCCTGAGAGAAGTCAGGCCCTGGTCTTTCAGTGAATATTATTTTACATGTTACTTCCCTGACAAATACACATTCTGCATATTGGGCAAATACTGTTTCAAAAAAATTTAACAAATTATTGCACCAGAGAAAATCCCCACCATCTTGCTGAAAGTGGACTTGGTGGTAGTTTCATGACTTTATTTGAAACTGCAGAACTCTGTCATCTTGTCAACATACCCTAACAGTAATCCTGCTGCTATTCCAGTGATGGTCTGGAGCACTGCGCTGGCAAAGGTCTAAATAATTTAATAGTAATATAGATTTTCTCTAAAATTGTTGACCGTGTGGCTGCTGCAGTCAGAAGACTAAGCGCATTAATTATGCAGCAGCTATTGCTGTCATGCTTACACATTTTTTCAGGTTTTATAAAGTCTTTCACTTGTGTGTACCTTCCATTCCTCCTTTTTCACTGAAAATCAGACACTTGCCATTTATTTTCAAACCACCTTTCTGAATGTTGAATTTGATCAACCTGTGATGCAGATCGGCCCTTAAATACTTTGAAGCATTGTGGCTCTGTATGAAGTTTTGCCTAATCATGCTCCTGTTGGACACCTTTTCTTTTRGTTGTCTTTTCTAAGAGCCCGGGTTCATTCCCCAGACTTTAGTTTTATACTTTAATCACCACAGTGCATAAGGCAGACTGGCTCTATAGGCCAGCCCTCTCTGCCAGGCTTACCACCTAATCCATCAGTAGTCTGTCTGTCAACTTTTAGTGCTGCACCCCCTCAGTCTTGTCCATCACATGCTACTTCACTTCATGTCATTCTACTTTACTGGGCTGTGGAGACGTCCAGCATCACTGCCGTCCTGGCTGAAAGCATTGCCACATTAACTCCATCTTGTACACTTGCTGTTCATGTGACCCGATAAGCATGAAGCAGCGGTGTAGGGCAAGTACCTCTCATACACTGATATCTGATGTCGTTAGAAAGTGGTATTTACTGTAACTCTTCTGTCTAGATGGAAAAACTGATCCACAAATGCCACACATAGTGTGCATGCTGATCTGCAGACAGGTGGAATCCCCTTGCGCAGATTGCACTGAAGATGGAGAGAGGCGGTTAAAC